AAAAATCCACAATCTGATACTTCAGAGAAATACATCAAAAAAAAGACTTGTACAAAAAAAAGAGAGACTAGAAATACTTTTTTTTTTCACAATGCATCAAGTGAATAAAAAAAGAGCAGTCACTATCATGCCGTCAGACAAAACAAAAAACAAATAATTAGAACATAAAGAGATAAGCAAGAAAATTTACATTATACTGAAAGAAACCACAAACAACAAACCAATATCAAAATTAAACTTACATGTACCAAATGTCTTAGCACCTAAATTTATTGAGGGAAAATTAACTGAACTACCAGGAAACATAGAAAGTAATACAGTAGTAGAAAAAGGGTTTAATGTCCTCCTCTCCATTTTGGATAATTTTGACTGAAAGATAAACAAAAAGAAATACATAATTGAATGAATTGCAAAGACAAAAACAAAAACAACCCAACAACCTAGTGTTAAAGACTCATGGTATTTTCTAAATTTGCTGGGTGAAGAATATTTCTCAGAATCATACGGAACTTTTCCAAAAATCAACTACATACTAGGACATAGCAATATTGCCATTTTTCTTTTCAAAGGATAAACACGTCCTTTCATAATACAATAAAAACAGTAATCTTAAAACTGTAGCAAATATGATTAAAACAAAGAGGGTAGAAAATTTAATTTGTTTGAATTCAAAAATTCAAACAAAGTAGCAAAGTGAAACCACAATAAAACCAGAAATAAAATTGTCAGAACATACCATGCACAGCTGTATGCTTAGAAAACTGAAAAGGAAGTAGAGCAATACCTTAAAAAATATTAAATACCCAAACTAGCAGAAGATCAAATAGAAAAAAAAATTAAATAGTTATCAAGGAAGTCACAAAGTTGGGAAAAAGCCACATTTCCTGATAGATTCATAGGAGAATTCTATAAAACTTAAACAAACATTAGTACCAATACAATAAAAATTATTCTCAAAAATTTAGAGAGTACCCTACAAAATTCTTTTTAGGAAACAAACATAATCCTAGTACCTAAAGTATAAAACAATAAAGTACAGAAGGTGAACTATAAGCCAGCATCATTAGTCAATATGGATTCAAAAATTAAAAAAAAAATCCTGAAATACAGATTACAGTGATTCATCAAAAAAGTCATTTATCATAACTAAGTTGGATTTATACCATAGTCCAAGGATCTTTCAACATTAAGAAAATAATCAGCTTATGCATATAAAACCAAAAACCTTCCAACCGCATGATTATTTCAACGGATGCAAAAAAGCTTTTGACAAAGTACAAAAGTTATTTATTTATGCTAAAATCTCTACAAAGTACAGGAATGGAAGGACCTTTCATAAATAGGTGTCTGTCTAAAACTGAGAGCAAACAAAATATGCAATGGGTTATTCACTAGAACCTTTTGCACGAAAACAGTAGTAAAGCAAGGATGCCTGTTCTTCCATTATTACTTGATATATCTCTGGAAATGCTAGCAACAACAATGAGATAATGTGATGTGATAGTCTACTAAGAAAATACTGGGGAATCACCAAAAAATACTAATTGAGATAATCAGTAGCTTCAGCAAAATTGAAAGCTTCAAAATAAACCCTTAGATATCAATAGCAGTTCAGGATAGTAATTTTCAAAATGAGGCAACCGTAGAAAGGGAAATCTTATTCCAAATAATTACAAAATGTATATAATACCTAGGACTCAATCTACCAGAGCACAAAAATATTTGTAATGATTTAATTACAAAGTACTCCACCAAGAAATAAAGAACTACTTTAAATAGGTGGAAAAATATTCAGTGCTCATGGTTGGATCATGCAATAGAATAAAAATGGTAATAGTACCATAATTAACTTGTACTTTTAATGATATACCAATCAGATTATCAAAGGGATACTTTATAGAACTTGATAAAATAATGACTAAATTCATTTGGACAATAAAAGATCTAGAATATCAAAGCAAATGACAAAAACAGAGGTAGGAATGGAGAATAGCAGTTTTAGGCTTAAAATACAGTATAAAGCAGCAGTCCTCAAAACCATCTGGCATTGGTTAAAAAATAGAATGGTAAATCAATGGAACAGACTAGACAAGGGAGAATCAGAACTAATGGACTCAATAAACTTAATTATTTAGAAAGAACTTCTCTTTTTTAACACAAAAATTTTATTTTAAACATTCACTTAAAAAAATTGAGTTCCAGATGATCTCCCTCCCTTCTGTTCCTCCCTTGCCCATTGAGAAGGCAAGCAATATGATACCAGTTAAACATGTGAGGTCACACAAAACATATTTCCTTAATAGCCATGTTGCAAAACGAGAGAGACAACAATAAAAAGCAAGAATCATAAAGAAAGTGAAAAAGTATGCTTCAATCTGTCCTCAGTCCTCAGGAAGAACTCATTAGTTCTCTCTGGAGGCAAATAGCATTTTTCATCATGGGTCTTCTGGAATTATCTTAGATCGTTATCTTGATCAGAGTTGCTAAGTCTTTCATGGTTTACTATATTGCTGTTGCTGTGTATAATGTTCTGCTTTTGTTCACTTCTCTTTGCGTCAGTTCATATAAGTCTTCCCTGGCTTTTCTGCAACCATCCTGCTCATTATTTCTTATAGCACAATAGTAGTATTCCATAATATTTATACACCATAACTTATTTAGTCATTTCCTAATTAATGGGCATCTCCTCAGTTTCCAATTCTTTGCCACCACAAAAAGAGCTGCTATAAATATTGGGATACAGACTTAGTAATGGTATTGCTGGATCAAAAATTACGCATAGTTTTGTAGATTCTGTTCCTCAGGGCCCCTGCCTACTTCCTTGAAAATGTTACTTTCTGCTCTGAAAAGCTGACATGGAAGTGGATATTGAGAGACGCATCCTTGACCCAGTGCTAGCAAAGGATTCCGTTGTTGTCTCTTTCTGACCAGTTTCTGGATCCCCTTACCAATTTTGGCTTAAGAACTTCTGAAGCTGCTGCTGCTGCAGTTGCTGCCTCCCAGGCCTGCTCTTGGTGTTGCCACCATGTAGGCTTCAGGCCAGCCCACACCCCTGTGTCACAGACCTCTCCTGCTGACCTCCTAAGTTATCTTGGACTTGAAAAAAATGCCTAGCCTTAACCTTTTGTTGGTTGTGCCACTCTGGAATTTGATTCAAGGCCTTATTTTAAAGTTGCCTGGAGGGGATATTGGGAGAACTTGGTTGCTTCCTCTACTCTGCCACCTTGGTTCCAAAACTTCCTTTTTGATAAAATAGTGCTGGGAAAACTGAAAAGTAGTCTGGCAGCAATTAGACTTAGGCCAATATCTTATACCATATTCCACAATACATTCTAAATGCATATGTGACCTCAATATTATAAGATCATATAATTTTAAATCATCAGAAGAGAAACACATCATAAGCCTCTCATAGCTTTAAGTAGAAGTTATATTCTTAATCAAACAGAGATAGAGGCAGAAGATAAAGTAGATAACTTTGATTACATGAAACTGAAAAGTCTGTGTCCAAACAAAATTAATGTATAGGAAAGGAAGCACTAGAATGGGAAAAAAATCTGTGTGAGTTAGGGACAAATCATTTAACTTTTTTTAACCATTAGTTTCCTCATTTGAAATAAGGGATAATAATACCTATAACATGTACATTACTATGTTGTTAAAAGAACTAAATGGGGCATTTTCAAATAAATAATTTTATAAAATAAATATTTTATGTATTTAAAGCACTATATAAGTGTCAGTCAATATTACTATAACATGGTAGGAACAGTTGCCCTTCCTCTATCCCTTTCCAGAGCTGTCTCCAAGCTGCTCTTGGTCAATATTCATAGCCTGGCCCACCTGCCCCATAAAAAGAGAGTAGTGGACAAAACAACTGAAATGGAGATGGAGTACTCCTCTTAACTCTCAATGACTAAGTAGAAGTTGCTGACAGTGAGAAGCACACTAATTGGATCCTGGAGAAGGGAGACAATAATTAGGCCAGGTTTGCCATAATGGTGCCAAGTATGGGAAATGGAGAGAGTCTCAAGCCATGTAAGTAAAAGATAATTTCTATAGCTCCTAAAAAGGCCCTTCAATTGTGGAGTAGGACTGTGGGACACCATATAAAGGAAGAGGAAGGGCTATGAAAGATATGTAGCATTGTCAGCTAGGATTTCAAATAATCCCTCCATGTTTTGTTCAGCTGTAAGAGCTATTACCAGTTCCTAGGGAGGAGCAACTGTAGAAAGCAGCTTTGAAAAGACAGTGGAACATATGTTGAATAGATTAAAAAAAAAGAGAAGGATATATACATATGTATATAAACATACATATATACATGCATGTGTGTGTGTGTGTGTGTGTGTGTGTGTGTGTATAGCTTGGCACCTAGTAGGCACTTAGTAAATTTTGATTAATTGATTGAACAAGAGCTGGGAAGAATCATGGAATCATAGAATTTAGTTGGAAAAGATCTAAGCAGCCATCTACTGCAATCCATACCTGTAAAGAATACCCACTATAACACATTTTAAAAGTGGTTGTTCATCCTCTGATTGAAGACATCCTTTAAAAACCACCACCTCTCAAAGTAGCCCTTTCCATGTTTTGACAGCTATAGTTATTAGGAATTTTCCCTTCAAATCAAACCTAAATTTGCCTCTTTGCACTTCTACCCATTGATGTTGGTTTTCTCAGGTCAAACAACAACAATAATGACTAGCATTTACATAGCACTTTAAGGTTGGCAAAGTACTTAATAAATATTAACTCATTTCTTCCTCACAACAACCCTGGAAAGTGGTACAATTATTATTTCCATTTTACAGACAGGGAAACCAACGCATACAGTGCTTAAGTGACTTGCCTAGGTGCTAAGTGCATGAGGTACAAGTCTTCTCATCTCCATGTCCAATGCACTATCCACTGCACTACTTTGCTGCCTCATCACATTATAGCCGTTCAGGTACTTAAAGACAACTATTACATCTCATCTAATTCTTCTCTTATTCAAGCTAAACGTCCACCAGTTCTTAACATGGAAGAGGAGGATAAAAGATGCTCACTAGCACAGACACTGACAAGTAGACTAATGAAGAATCTTTGGATAAACTGAGAGCTGAATAGAAGGAATTAATGAAGTAGAACCAAAGACAGCAACAATTGAGAGAAGAACTATTATGCTGGACTAGAGGTGAGGCCAAAAACCATAACAAGATGGAAGCACAGATACTTGTCAGGAGTAGAGCTCTTGGTGAACAATGGGAAAAGAGATATCATAGTATAGAATGGGACCTTAGTCTTTTACTAGGGCCACACCCAGGGTGGGTGAGTGGCCTTGTGAGTCATAGCTCTCTGAAGTTGGAAAACTCCCTGAAAGGGAGTGAGGGCCTATCTTGATCCTCTGTGGGCTCAGGTATAATCTTTACTGCATTGCAGTAAACCATTGCATCATTTCCTGTTTGATTCCTCATGAATTCGAATGGTTGTAGGAGAGATTGTTGATATCATGAGGAATAATGAAATAAGAGATGATTTAAGGGTCCCCAAATGTAGCTGGTCCCTTGGACACAAGGTTTATATTTCTTATTAGTTACAATTGTTTTTTTTCTTGGTTCATGGCTCCTGCCACTGGCACGAAAGTGAGAACCTCATAGAGACTTGTAGAATTTTTCCTTGTCTTCTATTAAAATTTTATGCACTAGACTCTGATCTGGGTTAGTTATATAGTCTTCCAAGAAACTTAGGAGTATCTTAACATGAAGTAGTTATTTCACCATGTTTTGGTAGAATAGTAGGAGTTAAAGCTTGGTTGATGTTCAGATTTTTTTTTTCTGGCTCGGATTTTTTAGAGTTCTTTTCTAATTCAGAGCACTAATCCTTGTTTTTTTTTTATTATTATTAAGATTTAATATCCTAGCTAAGTGTGGGAGGGTGTTATTACCCCAAGCCAATAGCTGATGATATTTTTGGCTGCAACCACTCACAAAGACAATTGCCTTGCCTTCCCTTCTCTTTTCTTCTTTCTTTTTGAGACTGGATCCACCCACTTCCCTAAAGCTGGACAGGCAATAGCCTTTCACTGGTCCAACCCAATTGATGATTGTTACAGGAGCTTTGCCCTACCCTTGTTTCTAACCTGAACTGATTAACTGCTTGTTAGGTAACATGGTATTCCCCTTCTTCCGTGGGCTTACCTACCATGTTGATACTGGATTTCATGTGTAAATCTCATTGTCTTTAGTCCTTTAGCAGCTCAGGACTGGCAAACTCAAGTGATTGATCCACCAGCATCAGATATTATAAGGAATGCGCCACCACACCCAGCATGAACACCATTTCCAAAGTATGGACGAGTTATGATCTGCATTGGCAGAAAAAATACCCATGCTAAAGGAAGTAGGCATTTGTTCAATGTATCCACGTCTCAAGGATATATTTTAATCCTCCACTAAATTATCACATATTACAAATCAATGACTCTGAATGAAGTTTAAGTCTGCTAGCATTTACATATTTAAGTTTATACTTACTGATAAGGCAAGACTGCCAAAATAGAAAATCTATATAAATATTTTGGAAATTCACCTGTATGCCTTCATTTCTTCGTGTAGGAAAGAGTTTTTCTGTATACAATATTTCTACAGAAGATTTCTTTAAAAACTTTGCATTCTTTTGTGCAAAGTGGGAGTAACCTGGTCAAAAACCTAATGAATGGCTACCTGTAGTACAGAATAGCTGGCCTCCATGGCCTCAAACAATGTTGCAATATCCTATTCCTTTCCAACTTCACTAGGCACACAATACATTCTGTTGAGATGTAATAGCTTCTCTGTCTCCATCAGGAATACTGTTGGGTTTTCTCAATGATATTTTCAATTTAGTAGGTAATTCAATCTCCTCTGCATAGATTCCACTGGCTTAGACCCCAGAGAGTCTTTGTTTTCAAATACTACACTTACAATGTTGCCTAATATGATTGTGAACAATTCATCATATATTTAATAACAACAATATTTTTCATCTAGCATGGGCTTTAAAGAGATTTCCCCACTAGTTCTAGAAGTATCCCTATGAGGGAGCAGGCTATTACATTATGATCTTCATTTGAGAAATGAGGAAACTCTGATACAGAGGGTGGTGAAGGTCATGTAAGCCATTGACTGAGTGGGAAATAAAATTTCAAAGTGAAGACTCCAGAGCTATTATTCCTCCAATCACCAAATCATACAGTTTTCCTTTTGATATATTTGAGATGCTAAACATTCAGGGAAGAAGGCCCATGTCTACTCCCATATAAAAAGTGGCATCATTTGTAATCTAAACTCTTCAAGTAATATTGATGCTATATGAGAATGATGAAACTGACTGACTTTTCAGGTGTACTTAGTTTAAGCAAACAATAGGAAAATTCACAAACAGAATGTAGTTAAATTATGGTAATGACCTCTCTCTTTCTCTGTCTCTATCTCCATCTCTGTCTGTCTCTGTCTGTGTCTCTCTCTGTCTCTGTTTCTGTCTCTGTCTCTCTCTCTTTGTCTCTGTCTCTCCTTATCTCAGCCCTTATCTCATTCTAGCTGTAAGTGCAGCTATTGTTCACTGGCCTATTACATTTCTGATGCCACGAACATGTTGACCTGTTTCATTTCTGACCTGGCTTTAGGCAGCCTGGTGGAGTACTGCTCCCAGGGGCTTACTATTTTGGTGCCAGATAATATGGAAACCTGATCAGCTTTAGCCTACTATGATTCAGAATTCCTGAACTCAAATTATCTACCAGCCTTAGCCTCCATGTGCCGCCATGCCCAGCCAATAATTATTTCCTTTACAAAAGTATTTACTGTAGAATTCTTTTGAATAAAGAATTTCACATCATTTCATTCTATTTGATTTACAAAAAATTATTTACACTAATTTTGTGTAAACAAATTTATTACAGAGAAGAAAATATCCATATTAAATAACAAGGAAACTGCATTACTCACTGACTGTTAAAGTTGTTTGGTTACAAATATTATTTATTTGTCTTTCTTTGGAGTCTTAAACTGGGTGATAATACATTTAAATAAAAAAAAAACTGCTTAAGTTTGTGCATATTTCCAGGCTGCTAATTGAAACTATTTGCTGGCTTCTATGAATGTAATGAAATATTTAACTAACCTAATTCTCTTATAATGTTAATACCAATCAATTAGAAAATCATGATTACCCAGTTTTGAAGCACTTAAAAGTAAATTGATGTATCTTACAAATACATTTACAAACTAATTGGCTCAAGGCATTACTTTAAATTAGTTTAGCTCCTTTTCTTGCTAGCATAAGAAGACCTTCAACCTGTTTTTGTCATATCAGCTCTTTCCCTTTTTGGTATGAAAAAGAACTTTTTTCTCCCAAATAATGAACCAAATACATTTGGCCTGTGGTGACTTATTTTTACATTGCTTTTTCAAGTTGCCAGTTGGGCTGAATGGAACAGAAATTGAAAAAGGTGGGTACATCCTATCTACATGCAGACCCATACATTATTGTTTAATCACTGTCCATCTGTGCTGAAAATAGCTAATAATAATAACTAATAGTTACATAGCACTTCAAAGTTTATAAAACTTTTTACATGTATTATCTCATTTGATCCTCAATAGCACTTACTTCATAGGTGCTATTGAGAATCAAATGAGATAATATATGTAACATATGAAGTAGGTGCTATTATTGTCCCTATTTTACAGTTGGGCAAACTAAGCCTAAGAAAGGTTAAATGACTTGCCCAGATTCACATAGCTAGTAAATGTCTGAGGCAGGATTTAAACTCAGGTCTTCCTTACTCCAAGTCTAGCATTATAGCCTCTGTGTCACCTAGATGCCCAGATCTACGTGGAAAATTACAGCTCAGTTGTCAAAACTCTGGCATTGGGAATTACCACTCTATAAGGTAAAAACAAAACAAAACAAAACCACATCCTACCTATCTGACAAATGATAATAGTAACAATTTATAATTATACTGCATTTAATTGCCACAATGCACTCTTGGTAACTGATCCCATGAGTGAGGTAAGTAGTGCCAGAATAATATTCCTGTTTCTAGTCAAAGAAACTGAGGATCAAAGAAGTTGAGTCATTTGCTCCAAGTCATAAAGCTACTAAAGGGTAGAGCTGGAATTCAGAGCACATATTATAAGTTCCTTCAGCATTCTGCTATACATTTCAGAGAAATCTGGCTTCATATTTCACATTTAATTATTGAAGTATTTTATTCGGTTACAAGCACAAAATTAATGAGGAAAAGGAATTTCTATTTTCAAGATGGTTTTACCATCATTTTCTGACAAGCTAGTGGGTGACGTATTTAAATTTATTTTTCTTTGAAAGGGATCCTAACCATAGATACGGAAAGAACTTTTATGATATTTAATGGAGCTAAAATAACTGTTTTCCTGATAATGTGCATATATGGACATAATGAAGTCTCAAGATTTAACTTCCTATAAAATGTTTTAATATAATTTTAATGTAATTTAATATTTTATATTATTTTTAAAATTTTAAGTCAATTAAATGCATATTTATTTAGAAAGAAGTGAATAATTATTTACTAAGTACTTACTATGCGCCAGGCACCATGCAATTTCTAATACTATCTACTTTGATCCTTATAACAATTTTGTGAGGTAGGTGTTATTATTATTCCCATTTTACAGTTGCAAAAACTGAGGTTTGCTTACTATGTGTTATTCAGAATGTCTAATTTCCTAGAAGAGAGATAGGAGTAAAAGATACCGGTGATTAACAGCTAATTAGTTGGGCCCTAAGAGAATGAACACACTTATGGCAAAAAGAGTATGGTCCAAATTGTGGTCCAAAAGAATAATCAAGAAGCCAAGGGGCTTCAAGCCCTTCCCTCCACCCACACAGCTACAAACCTGGTTCAGGTGCTATCACTTCTTGACTATATTATCACAATTACCATCTAAATGATATCTGTGTATTAAGCTTCTCCCTGCTTCAATCCATCTTTCATTCAGCTCTCAATGTGATTTTTCTAAACCATAGATCTGATCTTAACATCCTCTACTTAGTGATTCCCCCTGCTCCTTATTGCCTCTATGAACAAATAAAAACTCCTCTATTTGAGACTTAAAACTCTTCAAAACTTGGCCACTTCCCAGCTTTCCAGTTATGTTACATTTCTCT